AGGATGGAGGAGCATGGACCTCACCATGTTGGCTGGAAGAGGATGGAGGAGGATGGAGGATGGAGGAGCATGGACCTCACCATGTTGGCTGGAAGAGGATGGAGGAGGATGGAGGATGGAGGAGCATGGACTTCACCATGTTGGCTGGAAGAGGATGGAGGAGGATGGAGGATGGAGGAGCATGGACCTCACCATGTTGGCTGGAAGAGGATGGAGGAGGATGGAGGATGGAGGAGCATGGACCTCACCATGTTGGCTGGAAGAGGATGGAGGATGGAGGAGCATGGACTTCACCATGTTGGCTGGAAGAGGATGGAGGAGGATGGAGGATGGAGGAGCATGGACTTCACCATGTTGGCTGGAAGAGGATGGAGGAGGATGGAGGAGCATGGACTTCACCATGTTGGCTGGAAGAGGATGGAGGAGGATGGAGGAGCATGGACCTCACCATGTTGGCTGGAAGAGGATGGAGGAGGATGGAGGATGGAGGAGCATGGACCTCACCATGTTGGCTGGAAGAGGATGGAGGAGGATGGAGGATGGAGGAGCATGGACCTCACCATGTTGGCTGGAAGAGGATGGAGGAGGATGGAGGATGGAGGAGCATGGACTTCACCATGTTGGATGAAAGAGGAGGAGGATGGAGGAGGATGAAAGAGGAGGAGGATGAAAGAGGAGGAGGATGGAGGATGAAAGAGGAGGGATATAAATGAAGAGGTGATCAACAAGCCCTATGAGCAGCACGATGAGTCTGTGGTCAGTGGTTGACCAGACCATTTGTTGATGACCTACCAACCCTCCTCAGAGTAAAACCAGGTTGAGGACGAACATAAATGAACCACTGTGGTTGACCATAAATGAATGAATGGCATTTGACAAAGGAACCAAAAAAAGTGAACGTTCGGTCTACGAGAACTGAACGAAACCATTTGCAGACAGGACAAATGGTTTTATTCCTTTCTCACCTATGTTGTACTTCTGGGTCACCATCTGCCTGATCTTGTGTCTCTTCTCCAGCACCTCTATGAGGCGGGGCAGGGTGACGTCATCATGGGGGTCCGTGATCTCGCTGGCGGGCAGGTTCTGGATCAGCTGGTGCATCACTGACTGGGTGGATTCTACACCTATAGGAAACATAGGATAGATCACAGATGACCAGTCGTTGATATACAGTACTTGGCAATAGAATAGTATCTATCCTCTGATCACAGATTACCAGTCGTTGATATACAGTACTTGGCAATAGAACACAAAAAGGATTTATCCTGTTTCTTCTTACCGTTCTTGCTATGAATGAGGTCATCAACGAGGGGCTTGGCAACATCCTCAAACAATTCCATCTGGGACGTCTTGATGCCGAATACCTTCTTGAAGCAGTACTGGGTCTGTCAAAGCAAAGGGCTTGTTAGAGACTTGGGAAATGTTTATTACCTTCTGTTTGATCCAGCAACTTGTTTGGCTTCATCGACAAACATGACAAATAATGTATGCTCACATTCACACGTAAAGCAGTCACACCAATATCTTCCTTTACTGATTTCAAATATTTTCTCTCTCTCTTGCAGCAGCAGCTGGCTTTCACTCACACAGCGGTTTCACAGACACACACCTCCTTGAATTCTCCATTTCTGTTGGCTTTGAGTCCGTCAGGAACGTGCAGCTGGATTGTGGCGTTGCTGATCAATACAGCATTCCTCATCCTCCGCTACAAGAGGTCGCACACGGCAGGACACCTGGACAATACCAACACAATTTTTTAAAAAATGTAATAGAGTTAAACAATAACAGTGTGATGAGCCTCGATCAGTGAGGTGTCCTACAGGAGGGGCCTGACAGGGCCCCAACACCTCCATCTCCAGAAATACACTACATCAAATCTAATCTCATTGGTTGCGAGTATGTAAACATTATTAAAGTGCCCAGTGTTCAATGACTATGTACTGTACATAGGGCAGCAGTCTCTAAGGTGCAGGGTAGAGTACCGGGTGGTAGCCGGCTAGTAACAGTGAGTAAAGTTCAGGGCAGTGTACTGGGCGGAGGCTGCCTAGTGGTGACATTCAGATAAAAGCTGCTTTTCAGTCTCTTCGTCCCGGCTTTGATGCACCTGTACTGTCTCTGCCTTCTAGTGGGGTGAACAGGCCTTGGCTCGGGTGGCTGAGGTCCTTGATGATCTGCTTGGCCTTCCTGTGACACCGGGTGCTGTAGATGTCCTGGAGGGCAGGCAGTGTGCCCCTGGTGATGCGTTGGGCTGAACGCACCACCCTCTGGAGAGCCTTGTGGTTGCGGACGGTGCAATTGCCGTACCAGGCGGTGATACAGCCCGACAGGATGCTCTCAATGGTGCATCTGTAGAAGTCTGTGAGGGTCTTAGGGGCTAAGCCGAATTTCTTCAGCTTCCTGAGGTTGAAGAGGCGCTGTTGCACCTTCTTCACCACTGTGTGGGTGGTCAATTTCAGGTTGTCAGTGATGTGCACGCCGAGGAACTTGAAGCTTTTCACCGTCTGTGGCCCTGTCGATGTGGATGGGGGCGTGCTCTCTCTGTTGTCTCCTGAAGTCCACGATCAGCTCCTTCGTTTTGTTGACGTTGAGGGAGAGGTTATTTACCTGGCACCACTCCGCCATGGCCCTCACCACCTCCCTGTAGGCTGTCTCGTCGTTGTTGGTAATCAGGCCTACCACTGAGCACGCGCCCTTGTGGGGCCCCCGTGTTGAGGATCAGCGAAGTGGAGGTGTTGTTGCCTACCTTCACCACCTTGGGTCGGCCCATCAGGAAGGTGGCTCTGTTTTATATTATTGAATTTGAATTATTCTAATGTGGAATAATATTCTATTCTAATGTATGTTTGCTAATAGGTTGAGGTCATTCTTGCATTGCAAGAGAATTGTGGACATCATGAAACCTTGCTAGCCACACATCATCTGTCTCAGTGGCAGATAAAATTAAGGCTGAACGATTTTGGAAAATAATCTAATTGCGATTTTTTGCCCCCAATATTGCGATTGCGATTTAATATGCGATTTAATTTATTTATCCTTTTTCCCCTACAAAACATAATGAATGATTTAAATATGACCAACACAATAGTATATACATTTAGTGTGAAATGTTCTTTCCCATAGGCTGGGTCTATTTGTTAGAATTAAATTCAAACATGTATGACTTGAAATAAATGACATTTTTATTGAACTGCTCATTACAGAAACATCTGTGGCTTTGCCACTGTGCATTTAAATAATTTAAACAAAGGCATGAACTTTGTAAACACTGTGTGCAAAAGGTACAGTCTTAAGAAAAAAATAATTTTAAATTGTATGTATCTTACTGCTCCCAAGTCAGTAACATTTCACACAACTGAAACAAGGAATTTGCTTTGAAAATATTTTGTAAAATCAAAGTAAATAAAGTTATAAATAAAAAATGAGAAATGCACTTTTAATTTAGACAAACTATTTTTTATAAACGATTTGAATATTATAATATAAAATAGATGAGCCTCACTTATCTCAAGTACACAACAATAACACACCACACAGACTAAAGTTCACTACGAGTGACTACAGACGTGATTCTCCTCGTGGAGATCCCAGCTGACAAGCCCTTCTCTCAGGCCGGCTGCAATATTTTCCCCTGTGTGATCGTCTGGGAAGTAGGTAGTTTGTAGGCAGCGAGCTCGGAGGTTGAAATCTTCATCAATAAAATGGACTGTAAGACTCTGGTACGGCTCAGCTGTGCGGCTTGACCACATATCAGTAGTGCTAGCAAAAAACTCCACCGTTTTAAGTTCCGCGGCGACTTTCTCTTTGCACTTTTTGTACAGCTCCGGTATGGCAGTCTGACTGAAGTATGTGCGGGAGGGTATACTGTAACGTTTATCAAGCGTATGTATTAATGCCATGAACCCAGGCTTGGTCACCGTGCTGAGAGGCATCATATCTTTGGCTATGAACTCGGTTATTGTCCGAGTGATTTCTCCGTGCCGTTTTGAATTACGTTCATACGGAGTGACACTTTCGAACATTTCTGTCAGTGATCCCTGTCTTGAGGTATTTGGCTTGTCTCGCGCACTGATGCTCGGCATTTTGGTCATACAACTGTCATGCATTGATTTGTGGTATTTTTTTAAGTGCTGAAACAGGTTTGTAGTGTTACCCCGTGAAGTAGCAATCGGAGCACGGCATGCTCTGCACAACACCTGACGCTGCTCAGCATCTTCTTTTTTAAAACCAAAATAGTTCCACACCACCGACGTGCTGTTCCTCTTCGATATTAAAGTATCAGCTGTGTCAGTTTCTGACTGTTCCGTCGAGCAAGAGGCCATTGCGCTGGACAGCATGAAAAGTCGCGTCACGTGACCACCTCAAATCGCGCACGTTGCGATTAGAAAATCGCGTTCAGTCAAATCGCGATATTATCGCGAATGCAATTAATCGTTCAGCCCTAGATAAAATATAATAAATTAACCAGCTAGAAGGAATATGTTCAGTCGTTTACTTACACCGACAGGATCTTTCCGGTTGCTGGATGGCTTCTTGGGAGCAGGTCAACGTGGGGTTTTGCCCTTCCTAAGTAGTCAAATAAAAAAACTAATAGGTAGCTGCTGCTACTACTACAGTACTACTAGCTTGCTTCTCGGCTTGACGACATTCGTTTGCGAAAATAGCTAGCTAGCTAGCTAAAGAAATCGGTTACTGGTATTTGCAAATTTTTCAATAATAAATAATTTTCATTGCAATCGCAACATTTCTACTCACGTAGGTCGTATCGTTGTGAATTGTTATCGTTTGATTTTCTCAACTGAGTCTCCTTACGTCCTTCTCCACTAGTTTCAAACTCGCTCCGCTCAAATACTTTTCAAATTCAACTAATCAGCGTAGACTGAACCATCGGAAGTTCCACCCAACTATTTCCGGTACACACAGAAAGTGCGAAACTTCCAAAAGCCATTGAGACAGCGCCGCCTACTGGGCAGAAGCTGTAACACAGAGACGTTACAAAACACTGGAGTTTGACTTATGTAAAGGACTTCTCACGTGTGGCGTGTGCATGAAAATAACAATACCACGAAGAAAAAGGAGCTCTACTAAATAACTCCTGCGTCGATTCGATATTGCACTGGTAATGTATTTTCATGTTATTTGAAGAACATGCATTACATAGCCAGGCTAGTCCTTTGTTGTTGTGCAACTATTAAATCAAATAAAAGTTTATTGGTCGTGTTACGCGTACACAGTTCGGCAGATGAAATACCGGGTGCAACGAAATGCTTATGTTACTAGCGCCTAACAATGCAGTAAAATGTGAAATAGGTACACAAATAATCAATTAAAAAAACGAATAAACAGAAAGAACAACAAAAATGTAGGAACGAATCCAATTAAGAACCCAAAAACCACTGTAACGGTAATCCAAATGCAATCTACACGAATCTACACCAGATGAATTTACACAAGATATACGAGGAATGATATGTATAGTAGTAGATATATTAGATTGAGCTAAGAATCCAGTATATAAATACATGTGCGGTATTTTTTATTTATATATTTATGTATAAACAGTGTAACTAAAATACAATGCAGTAGTAGAAATATTAGAATGAGCTATTTCGAGAATACAGTAGATAAATACACAGTACAACACCCCCATAGCAAAATGGATAGAATTGCAGGAAATTAGGCACAGATCTAAATTTACGATGGGAGGGGTGGTCCAAAATAGGGGTGTTGTCAAACTTTGTTTATCGCTTTGGGGAGGGTGTGTTTTTTGTGGCGGTACAGTGGTGGGTAGTGGTTATGGTGTAAAATAAGTATTTGGTCACCTACAAACAAGCAAGATTTCTGGCTCTCACAGACCTGTAACTTCTTCTTTAAGAGGCTCCTCTGTCCTCCACTCGTTACCTGTATTAATGGCACCTGTTTGAACTTGTTATCAATATAAAAGACACCTGTCCACAACCTCAAACAGTCACACTCCAAACTCCACTATGGCCAAGACCAAAGAGCTGTCAAAGGACACCAGAAAAAAAAATTGTAGACCTGCACCAGGCTGGGAAGACTGAATCTGCAATAGGTAAGCAGCTTGGTTTGAAGAAATCAACTGTGGGAGCAATTATTAGGAAATGGAAGACATACAAGACCACTGATAATCTCCCTCGATTCTCATTTTGTCTGTCATAGTTGACGTGTACCTATGATGAAAATTACAGGCCTCTCTCATCTTTTTAAGTGGGAGAACTTGCACAATTGGTGGCTGACTAAATACTTTTCCCCCCCACTGTATCTATTCTAGCTAGCTACAGTATATCTATTCTAGCTAGCTACAGTATATCTATTCTAGCTAGCTACAGTACATCTATTCTAGCTAGCTACAGTATATCTATTCTAGCTAGCTACAGTATATCTATTCTAGCTAGCTACAGTATATCTATTCTAGCTAGCTACAGTATATATATTCTAGCTAGCTACAGTATATCTATTTAATGTTTTCTACCTCGATCCGTGTGGTTGATTCCAATTTGAAAACGCAGTTACTATTTTTATTCATGTTGATGGTTTATTTAATCGATCACAAATGAATTGGAAAGGTGTCACTTCCCCATTTTTTATTTTTCCATTAATTTGGGGTTGAGGAATAGGATGGTGGGCCATAGCTGCACCTCACAGATGTTTTAAAGGCATCTGTCAAATACACTTGGTGTTCGAAGAACCTGTCAAACTTTGATTTTTATCGTGAACACAAGGGATTCGTTTTTTTTTCATTGCTGATTGTCTAATTTTCCATCCAGTTTACACAGTCAGAAATGGCACGGGCAAAGAAGGCTCCTTCAGAAGCATCTAAGTCGAAGCAGAAGTCGAGGAAGCAGGATGGAGAAACCTCTGGGGCTGCAGGACAAACCATCTCCAAGAAGCTACGGCAAAAGATGGACGGGAAGACCACATTGAAAACAGGTCTAATAGAACGACCACTCTCCATTTATATAAGCTTTTGATTGACTGCAATGTCTTTTATTTGGTTTCCCGCTCCAGATATATATTATTGCATATATCTTGTCACAGAAAGAACTGACTCTTTCCATTCTTTGATGTTATTGACTGTACTGGTCTTGTATTTCAGGGCCTGTTTTCCCAACCACCATGACCAAAGGTTCAGTTCAGAAGAGAAGTGGACCAGGAAGCATCCTGCACTACATTTACCAGAGTACACTGGGGCAGAGCCTTCATTCTCAGATGAGACAGGTACACTACATTTACCAGAGGACACTGGGGCAGAGCCTTCATTCTCAGAAGAGACAGGTACACTACATTTACCAGAGGACACTGGGGCAGAGCTTTCATTCTCAGAAGAGACAGGTACACTACATTTACCAGAGGACACTGGGGCAGAGCCTTCATTCTCAGAAGAGACAGGTACACTACATTTACCAGAGGACACTGGGGCAGAGCTTTCATTCTCAGAAGAGACAGGTACACTACATTTACCAGAGGACACTGGGGCAGAGCTTTCATTCTCAGAAGAGACAGGTACACTACTAAAGTCAGACTAGTGTGTCTTGACAGCTGGTAGAGTGACTAGGGAACAGTAGTGTGACAGCTGGTAGAGTGACTAGGGAACAGTAGTGTGACAGCTGGTAGAGTGACTAGGGAACAGTAGTGTGACAGCTGGTAGAGTGACTAGGGAACAGTAGTGTGACAGCTGGTAGAGTGACTAGGGAACAGTAGTGTGACAGCTGGTAGAGTGACTAGGGAACAGTAGTGTGACAGCTGGTAGAGTGACTAGGGAACAGTAGTGTGACAGCTGGTAGAGTGACTAGGGAACAGTAGTGTGACAGCTGGTAGAGTGACTAGGGAACAGTAGTGTCTGACAGCTGGTAGAGTGACTAGGGAACAGTAGTGTGACAGCTGGTAGAGTGACTAGGGAACAGTAGTGTCTGACAGCTGGTAGAGTGACTAGGGAACAGTAGTGTGACAGCTGGTAGAGTGACTAGGGAACAGTAGTCACAACAAACTTTCAAATAGTATATGTAAAGAGATGTGTCTACAGCTGAATAATGGCATGATAAAGCAGCAGCATGTCTAACAGCATTCTGACTTCAAGACCAGGCTCACCTAGATAGAGGCGTCCACAATCACCCAGGGCCCCGTTTCCCGATGCATCTTTTCTACATCGGTTGGTAATATCAGGCCATAAACAAACCCGTCTGGGCCCGGTTTCCCGAACAGTGATGGAACTTAGGCTTCCTAGTGTTTTAACAGATGCATATTTTCCTACAACGGCCGAAGATGTAACGTGCGTTTCCCAAAACACCACGCAGAGAGAACGGTCGCTAAGTGCAACGTTGGAGCATGTTTCAATACTGATGGGATGGAAAGAAAGGGAGCGCTGCTCTCAGATCAGCTTTCTCCATTCAAATCTTACCTTAACATTAGAATGATTGAACAATGCTGACGACGGATCAGCTCCTAGAGATATACTACGGCTGCAAATATTGAGGCAGCTTATTCTAATGGTTACTCAATAAAAATGCACTAAATCGCAGATTTGGCACATCACTGAACACGTTAGGCTACACATCATAAAATATATTGAGACATTACAGACAGTAGCGTTACAAGTAGCAAAATAGAACTAAATCGATTGATCGTGAAATGTATTTCAATATGATTGAAATAGGCCTATAGCCTACTGTTTATATTTTAATGCAGCCGTCTGTTTTCATTTGAAGCATATTTTTATACGTCGCTTGTTTGTATCAATTGCGAAGACATTGGCAACGTTGTATTTGTAGTCAACTTTGTTCTGAAGTTATCAGTGGTCACAGAGAGACGGATAAACCATGTGATTCTATGTTTAGTGGAGATCCTCTGTGTTATAAAGTGACGTGGCAGGGCAAAAAAAAAAGCATCTAATGACACATTTAGCTGTTCTAGGAGTGGTCTGAGGCAGGCGTTAGATTACGAGCGTTTTTTAAGTGCAACGTTAATATCGATGGTTTTGGGAAACGGCTGAGAGATTTTAACGATGCTCCTACGAAGGTTCTAACGATGAACATAGCCTTAAGATGCTTTTGTGAAACCGGGCCCAGGACAATAAGAAATTGAGGGTCTAACAAACGATTTTCTTGGCATCATCATCATCATCATCAGTACATTATATCTAACAACTATTTTTTCCCCAGTGTCTCCAGGAGCCGTTTGTGCGTTCCCTGTCCTCCTATAAGCTCCACCGTACAGCCAGTCCCTTCGACCGGCGGGTCACCTGTCTGGAGTGGCACCCGACGCACCCCACCGTCCTGGCGGTCGGCTCCAAGGGAGGAGACATAGTCCTCTGGGACTACAGCGTGCTCAACAAGACCAGCTTCATACAAGGGGTGAGAATGCCCGATACGCAATTCCTATCTGGTGAAAACGGGTTCCGGTGACGTCATTATAACCAGCAATGCCTGATGGGTTACTATTGAGTCTATGCTTATTCATTTTCTCATTTTACTGTTTTGTACCTAGACGGGATTGAAGAATTCGGTTCAGGATGATACACACAAATAATACAATGGTTGGGATGGATAGTTTTATATCTGTTTAAACCAGTCTGTGTTACTGATTAGGAACACCGTATTCAATCATATTATCAATCAAATTGGACTTTGAAATCCCTTTTTACATTTGAACATTATTGATAGTATGCTTAACATATGACACATACCGATAGTATGAGGTCTACATTGGTTACGTCCCAAATGGCACCCCATTTCCCATCTAGTGCACTACTTTTGACCAGGGCTCTGTTGACCAGGGCTCTGTTGACCAGGGCTCTGTTGACCAGGGCTCTGTTGACCAGGGCTCTGTTGACCAGGGCTCTGTTGTCCAGGGCTCTGTTGACCGGGGCTCTGTTGTCCAGGGCTCTGTTGACCGGGGCTCTGTTGACCAGGACTCTGTTGAGCGGGGCTCTGTTGACCAGGGCTCTGTTGACCAGGGCTCTGTTGACCGGGGCTCTGTTGACCGGGGCTCTGTTGTCCAGGACTCTGTTGTCCAGGGCTCTGTTGACCAGGGCTCTGTTGTCCAGGACTCTGTTGACCAGGGCTCTGTTGACCGGGGCTCTGTTGACCGGGGCTCTGTTGACCGGGGCTCTGTTGACCGGGGCTCTGTTGACCGGGGCTCTGTTGACCGGGGCTCTGTTGACCAGGGCTCTGTTGACCAGGACTCTGTTGTCCAGGGCTCTGGTCTAAAGTAGTGCACTATATAGGGAATAGGATGTGATTTGGGACTAGACTCCTGCTCTCTGTGTTATGCAGGTTGGTCCTGGAGGCTCTATAACAGCTTTGAAGTTTAACCCATACAACACCACTCAGCTGTTCACCTCATCTATCAGGGGAACCACCACACTGCAGGATTTCAATGGGACCACTCTCCGCGTGTTTACCAACACGGAGTCATGGGAGTAAGAGATGGAACGTTTCCCAAATGACACCCTATTCCCTATGTAGTGCACTACTTTAGACCAGAGCCCTATGACACCCTATTCCCTATGTAGTGCACTACTTTTGACCAGAGCCCTATGACACCCTATTCCCTATATAGTGCACTACTTTAGACCAGAGCCCTATGACATCCTATTCCCTATATAGTGCACTGCTTTTGACCAGAGCCCTATGACACCCTATTCCCTATTTAGTGCACTACTTTAGACCAGAGCCCTATGACACCCTATTCCCTATATAGTGCACTACTTTTGACCAGAGCACTATGACACCCTATTCCCTATATAGTGCACTACTTTAGACCAGAGCCCTATGACACCCTATTCCCTATATAGTGCACTACTTTAGACCAGAACCCTATGACATCCTATTCCCTATATAGTGCACTACTTTTGACCAGAGCCCTATGACACCCTATTCCCTATATAGTGCACTACTTTTGACCAGAGCCCTATGGCATCCTATTCCATATATAGTGCACTACTTTAGACCAGAGCCCTATGACATCCTATTCCCTATATAGTGCACTACTTTAGACCAGAGCCCTATGACACCCTATTCCCTATATAGTGCACTACTTTAGACCAGAGCCCTATGACACCCTATTCCATATATAGTGCACTACTTTAGACCAGAGCCCTATGACACCCTATTCCCTATATAGTACACTACTTTAGACCAGAGCCCTATGACACCCTAGTCCCTATATAGTGCACTACTTTAGAACAGAGCCCTATGACACCCTATTCCCTATATAGTACACTACTTTAGGGCTCTACTCATGGGCGGCGCACAATTGGCCCAGCGTTGTCCAGGGTAGGGGAGGGAATGGCCGGTAGGGATGTAGCTCAGTTGATAGAGCATGGCGTTTGCAACGCCAGGGTTGTGGGTTCGATTCCCACGGGGGGGCAGTATAAAAAAAAAAAAAAAAAAAAAAAAAAAAAAAAAAAAAAAAAAAAAAAAAAAAAAAAATATGTATTCACTAACTGTAAGTCGCTCTGGATAAGAGCGTCTGCTAAATGACTAAAAATGTAAAAATGTTTAGACCAGAGCCCTATGACACCCTAGTCCCTATATAGTGCACTACTTTAGACCAGAGCCCTATGACACCCTATTCCCTATATAGTGCACTACTTTAGACCAGGGCCCACAAGGCTTCGGTCAAAGTAGTGCCGGCATGATACCAGTATCGCAATATTTTTTCCATGGCAGAAATGAAAACACGGAACAGACCAAAGTCTTTGGTCCTTTAAAAACCTGCTGTATGTAAAATATAGTGATATATAGCTTGGACTCTGGATGACAACATAATGATGCTTGTTTCCAACATTGGGGCTGTTTTCCGAAAGGAGTTACATCCGCTTCCTGTTGTTTCCTTGGCCACGATACTAACGAGTATCACCAGACTGGTATCAGCCCGGTTCTGGTCTAAAGTAGTGCACTATATAGGAAATAGGATGCCATAGGGCTCTGATCTAAAGTAGTGCACTATATAGGAAATAGGATGCCATAGGGTTCTGGTCTAAAGTAGTGCACTATATAGGAAATAGGATGCCATAGGGCTCTGGTCTAAAGTAGTCCACTATATAGGAAATAGGATGCCATAGGGCTCTGGTCTAAAGTAGTGCACTATATAGGAAATAGGATGCCATAGGGCTCTGGTCTAAAGTAGTGCACTATATAGGGAATAGGGTGTCATAGGGCTCTGGTCTAAAGTAGTGCACTATATAGGAAATAGGGAGCCATTTGGGATGGAACACAGAGCCCTGTTTCTCAACACCTTATCAAGATAGAGCTAGTGTGGTTAGAACAGAACAAAACCCTTCCTTCTGATAGGCCTGTGGTTAGAACAGAACAAAACCCTGCCTTCTGATAGGCCTGTGGTTAGAACAGAACAAAACCCTGCCTTCTGATAAGCCTGTGGTTAGAACAGAACAAAACCCTGCCTTCTGATAGGCCTGCATTTATCTGGACAGAACTGTCGTTGGCCTAGGTTGTATTCACTAGACACACCAATTGGAAGAAAACTGACTGAAACAGGAAGGAACTACCTAAAGTTGCCCAATAACAAACGCATATTGTTGTTTTCCGTTGTGGTTGGACCCAGGCGTCATAGTTACAGCCCTGTGATTAGCCTGCGCCCTAGTGATCAGCACGTCTTTTCCAACCAGTCACTGGGATTGGTCTGTTTGTGCTCATCATGCAGAAAGGAGCCGGGGACTTTATTGGGGGGATGAAGTTTAGCCCGACGGACCCGTCCAAGGTCTACCTGGCGTCCGGTGATGGTACGCTGACCGTGCAGAGCTTTCAGGGCGGTCCAGCAACGGTTCTGTCCGGAGTCCAGGACTGTGGACATGATCACCACAATGTCTGGTGAGGATGCAGGCCCTACCTAGGGTACATCCCAAATGACACCCTATTCCCTAGATAGCGCACTACCTTTAGACCAGAGCCCTATGAGGCCCTAGCCAGATATTCCTTATATAGTGCACTACTTTTGACCAGAGCACATTGGGGTGTAAAATACTGGAGGGTTGCTGGTGTGGGATTGACTGTAAAAACACGAGGACCCATCTTTCTCAGTTCTCAGTTGACCATTTTTATTTCGGAAAGGGATGTAATCAGATATATGATGGTTGATAAGAATAAACTATATAAGGAATACATATCAGTTCAACAGAAATATATATATATATATATATATACAGTGAGGGGAAAAAAGTATTTGATCCCCTGCTGATTTTGAACGTTTGCCCGCTGACAAAGACATGATGAAGTGGTCCTCTGTAGCTCAGCTGGTAGAGCACGGCGCTTGTAACGCCAAGGTAGTGGGTTCGATCCCCGGGACCACCCATACACAAAAAAAATGTATGCACGCATGACTGTAAGTCGCTTTGGATAAAAGCGTCTGCTAAATGGCATATTATGATCAGTCTATAATTTTAATGGTAGGTTTATTTATAAATCAATTTATAACATTTTTGACATGCGTTTTTCTGGATTTTTTGTTGTTGTTATTCTGTCTCTCACTGTTCAAATAAACCTACCATTAAAATTATAGACTGATCATGTCTTTGTCAGTGGGCAAATGTACAAAATCAGCAGGGGATCAAATACTTTTTTTCCCTCACTGTATATACAGTGAGCTCCATAATTCATTGGACAGTGACATTTTTTTTGTTATTTTGGTTCTGTACTCTAGCACTTTGAGTTTGAAAGGATACAATGACAATGAGGGTGAAGTGCAGACTGTCAGCTTTAATTTGAGGGTATATTCATACATATCGGATGAACCGTTTAGAAATTATAGAAGCTTTTGTACATGGTCCCCCCCTTTTTCGGGCATCAAAAAACATTGGACAGTTTAACATAATGTAGAATAAAGTAATCATTGTTAATATTTGGTCGCATATCCTTTGCATGCAATGACTGCTTGAAGTCTGCGATGCATTGACATCACCAGACGTTGGGTATCTTCCCTGGTGATGCTCTGCCAGGCCTGTACTGCAGCCATCTTCAGTTCCTGCTTATTTTGGGGACTTATTGCCTTCAGTCTCCTCTTCAGCATGTAAAATGCATGTTCAATTGGATTCAGATCCGGTGATTGACTCGGCCAGTCAAGGATTTTCCACTTTTTGGCCATCAAAAACCCCTTTGTTGCTCTAGCAGTATGTTTAGGGTCATTGTCTTGTTGCATGATGAAGTGCCGTCCAATGAGTTTGGAGGCATTTGGTTTTATCTGAGCAGATAAAATATTTCTATAGACTTCAGAATTCATTGTTCTACTTCTGTCTGCAGTCACATCATCGATGAAGACAAGTGAGCCTGTTCCACTGGCAGCCATACAGGCCCAAGCCATAACACCCCCTCCACCATGTTTCACGGATGAGGTGGTATGCTTTGGATCATGGGCATTTCTTTTTTTTCTCCACACTTTCCTCTTTCCATCACTCTGGTACATGTTAATCTTTGTCTCATCTGTCCACAATACTTTTTTTCCAGAACTCTTGGGGCTCATTTAGGTGCTTTTTAGCAAACTGTAATCTCGCCTTTCTGTTCTTCAGGCTTATCAGTGGTTTGCATCTTGTAGTGTACCCTCTGTAGTCCTGCTGGTGTAGTCTTCTACGTATGGTAGACTTTGACACATCTACACCTGCATCCAGGAGAGTGTTTTTGATCTGTTGGGCTGTTGTCAGGGGGGTTTTCTTCACCATAGAGAGTATTCTCCGGTCATCCACTACAGTGGTCTTCCTCGGTCTACCGGGTCTTTTGACATAATTTAGTTCACCGGTTGTTTTTTTCTTGTTAATGATGAACCAAACTGTTGACTTGGGCATGGCCAGGGTTTTTGCAATGTTCCTGATTGATTGATTTTCATTTCTGAGCCTTATGACGGCCAGCTTCATTTGCATCGACACTGCTGTCTTCCTCATGTTGTCACACCACAACAACAACCTCCAAAGGCAATAGCAAAGTCTAGAATCAATGCTATTCATCAACAGCTCTCCTGCATTCACTAACGACACAAATGAATACACCTGCCTAACGACACACATCTGTGAAGCCAATTTAACAAATACTTGTAGTACCTTAAAATGGGGGGACCATGTATAAAAGGTGCTATCATTTCTAAACAGTTCATCCGATATATATGAAAATACCCTCAAATTAAAGCTGACAGTCTGCACTTCACCCTCATTGTCATTGTATCCTTTCAAACTTAAAGTGCTAGAGTACAGAACCAAAATAACAAAAAAATTGTCACTGTCCAATGAATTATGGAGCTCACTGTATATGTATATATATATATATGGACAACTAGTAACTAAATAACAAAGGACTGTATAAAAAGGATCATGCTAATTGCTCACAAACTAGACAGTAGTAGTCTGACACATGACAAACAGTTTAACACTGGACAAAGGAAGTCAAAGGTCAAAAGGAGAGAGGATAAAGGTACTTGGTCAGTAACATCCATGGAAAGGAAATCTACTTCAAAGGACATGACTATAAACTAGTGATGGGACGATTGATACCGGAGATCCGATGCAGTTTTTAAATGTACTACTGATCTGACACAATGTACCGATGCTCGTTTCAAAGTAACATTACCACGTGATGATCAATGACGTCTGAAGCTCCGTTTTGGTTTTTCAAACCGTGTGTTGCAAAATGCGAGATCCCACTGATTTCTCTGCGGTTCCGGTGCTTTTTTTTCCGACTCCAAGTTGTTTTTCAAACACCAACCTCTACTGGACACCGTACTTAGGCTTACAATGTAGTTAGGATTCTTTCATGTAGTGTCACCTGAACGGCAGCTCAGCAGGTAGGATCTCCGGGACTAGAACCTGGGAATGTTTTGGTATATTATTTGAATATCTGAACCACACTTTTTGCACATTGTTGTTCAAACAATGAGTTTTATTTAGTAGAGTATAAGCTTCTGTCTTAAGCGTCCTAAATAATGCCACAGGATTCACCGTTTTTGACAGAAAAAAAAAGCAAAACAAGGGATTCAGAGCAAAAAGGGGAAGCATGATGGAAGGTGCCAACATGTATGGTAACTGATAGTAGGCTACAAAGAGCCACGACTAGCGGCCGCGCAACGGAGATTCTATGAATACTGTGGAAAAAAACATCTATATGAACACCAAACGCTGCTTTTCATTGCTGACCAGCAGATGTCACTAATGTACTTTGTGTTAAAAGTAATGAACTGTTTTTTTTTTTCAGCACAATTTGGGTAAAAAGCCCCCAGAGGCTTCAGAAAGCCTCGATTTCCCATCGCTACTATAAATTACATAACAAAACACTTCAGTCAGTCCATTAGGTAGCCACCTTGATTAGAATCAGGTGAGTCTACTTAAGGTGTGGGGGGAGGTACTCCTGCCCTTCAGGAAACAGGAAGTGGGGGTGACCGGTGATTAGGTGGGAGAGTCAGGAAGTGGGTGGGGAACGTTCTACGTAGGGGCTATGGTCAACAGGAAGTGGGTGGGGAATGTTCTACGTAGGGGCTATGGTCAACAGGAAGTGGGTGGGGAATGTTCTACGTAGGGGCTATGGTCAAATGTATTGCTCTACATAGGGGATAGGGTGCCATTTGGGACATGACCTTGGTGCCAGACAAATATAACCTTATGTTAGGGAAAAATACACAACTAGTGCACTTAGTAGTGTCTGTCTGATGATAAACAATCTTTCACATTCTGTTGATGGTATAATAAAACGTTTAGTGTTGTCTGAATTTTATTGATATATATATATATATATATATATATATATGTATGTATGTATGTATTTTTTTTTTTTTTTTTGAATGCATGATACATTTGATATTAGTTTAAATTATATTGAGATACATCTCTGTTTCAGTCTGTGGTACTGCTGTGTAGATGTGTCGTTGAGCAGACAGATGCTGGTGACAGGAGACAACATAGGACGAGTCTTATTGCTGGGCATTGATGGACACCAGGTACAGTACTGTAGAGTATATTTCTACTGTAGTCTACACTATAGCTACAGTACTGTAGAGTATATTTCTACTGTAGTCTACACTATAGGTACAGTACTGTAGAGTATATTTCTACTGTAGTCTACACTATAGCTACAGTACTGTAGAGTATATTTCTACTGTAGTCTACACTATAGCTACAGTACTGTAGAGTATATTTCTACTGTAGTCTACACTATAGCTACAGTACTGTAGAGTATATTTCTACTGTAGTCTACACTATAGCTACAGTACTGTAGAGTATATTTCTACTGTAGTCTACACTATAGCTACAGTACTGTAGAGTATATTTCTACTGTAGTCTACACTATAGCTACAGTACTGTAGAGTATATTTCTACTGTTGTCTACACTATAGCTACAGTACTGTAGAGTATATTTCTACTGTAGTCTACACTATAGCTACAGTACTGTAGAGTATATTTCTACTGTAGTCTACACTATAGCTACAGTACTGTAGAGTATATTTCTACTGTAGTCTACACTATAGCTACAGTACTGTAGAGTATATTTCTACTGTAGTCTACACTATAGCTACAGTACTGAATGGGCCAGAGGGAGGTAATGTCAACCTATATTGAGTAGTTAGTTAGCATGTACAATTTAAACATTCTGTATTATGTTCTGTTTGCACGTTCTAAGAATAGGACCATTCTAGATTATGTTCTGTTTGCACGTTCTAAGAATAGGACCATTCTAGATTATGTTATGTTTGCACGTTCTAAGAATAGGACCATTCTAGATTATGTTCTGTTTGCACGTTCTAAGAATAGGACCATTCTAGATTATGTTCTGTTTGCATGTTCTAAGAATAGGACCATTCTAGATTATGTTCTGTTTGCATGTTCTAAGAATAGGACCATTCTAGATTATGTTCTGTTTGCATGTTCTAAGAATAGGACCATTCTAGATTATGTTCTGTTTGCATGTTCTAAGAATAGGACCATTCTAGATTATGTTCTGTTTGCATGTTCTAAGAATAGGACCATTCTAGATTATGTTCTGTTTGCATGTTCTAAGAATAGGACCATTCTAGGCATGACTGCATTAGGCACAGCTTTGGCAGTTCCAATGATCTCATTTCATTACTGACGACGTTCTTGAAGATGTTGTTAAAACGATCTGCACGTTTCCCCCCCCCCCCTCGTAGATCTTCAATGAGAAGTTGCACAAGGCTAAAGTGACCCATGCTGAATTCAACCCTCGCTGCGATTGGTTGATGGCGACAGCGTCTGTTGACCACACGGTGAAGCTATGGGACCTGCGGAACATCAAAGACAAGAACAGTTTCCTCCACGAGATGGTTCATGACAAAGCTGTTAACTCCGGTACTGAGAACTCTCTCCTGTCCTACTTTTAGGGGTATTTTCATCTTGACCACTGTGTCGTAGAATACGATAACGCTGTTTGGGACGGCAGGTAGCTTAGTGGTTAAGAGCGTTGTGCCATTAAACGAAAGGTCGCTGGTTCTAATCCCCGAGCCGACTAGGTGAAAAATCTGCCGATGTGCCCTTGAGCAAGGCACTTAACCCTAATTGCTCCTGTAAGTCGCTCTGGATAAGAGCGTCTGCTAAATGACTAAAATGTAAATGTTTGACTTCTAGCTAAATGACACTATGGAACACTACTGTAATTTAAAGTAGATAGAGAGAAAGCGTTATAATAATAATAATAATATGCCATTTAGCAGACGCTTTTATCCAAAGCGACTTACAGTCATGTGCGCATAAATCTTTACGTATGGGTGGTCCCGGGGATCGAACCAACTACCCTGGCGTTACAAGCGCCATGCTCTACCAATTGAGCTACAGAGGACCATCTCAGCTCAAAACTATAGGTTGTTAGCAATAACGGTGCACCCATTTTAAATGTTATCCTCCAATAATGCATTTTACATTTTAGTCATTTAGCAGACGCTCTTATCCAGAGCCACTTAAGCATATAAATCATAGTCCTGAGACACGATAGTCTGGCGTCCCATTGTGACATAGCTACGCGGCTCTGAGACCACCGTCCAACCAGGCTCCGGTACGCGCCCTCTATTCATTTTGAACGTGTTGACAGTTGGAGAAAACTGCTTGAGCCGTGCGGAGAATTCGAAAAGTGTTCTAAGCCCAACGGTCCAATTCTAGAACGCTGCTGTGCGTACGCGTTTTGGACTACGATAGATGCTTTACAGTTAGTGCATTCATCTTAAGATAGCTAGGTGAGACAACCACATATCACAGTCGTAGTAAGAACATTTTTCTCAATAAAGAAGTTGTCAGTACTAGTAGGAAAAGACAGGTGCAAGTTTATTATAATAATTATTTGCTTGAAAAACATCTACCTCTTTCATCAGAAAGGATAAAAGCTTATTAAGAACATTTAACCCTCTAGATACCCTCCCCCCTCCCCTCTCTCTCTTTCTCGCTCTCTCATCATGCTGTTGTTCCCTCCCCCCTCCTCTCTCTCTCTCATCATGCTGTTGTTCTCTCCCCCCTCCCCTCTCTTTCTCATCATGCTGTTGTTCCCTCCCCCCTCCCCTCTCTCTCTCATCATGCTGTTGTTCCCTCCCCCCTCCCCTCTCTCTCTCATCATGATGTTGTTCCCTCCCCCCTCCCCTCTCTCTCTCATCATGCTGTTGTTCCCTCCCCTCTCCTCTCTCTCTCTCATCATGCTGTTGTTCCCTCCCCCCCCAGCCTACTTTAACCCAGTGGACTGCTCCAAACTCCTGACCACTGACCAGTATGACCAGATCAGGGTGTACTCCTCTTCTGATTGGTCAACTCCTCAGCAGATTATCCAGCACCCACACAGACAGTTTCAGCACCTCACACCGATCAAGGTGAGGCACGTGGGTGGATCACGGTGGACTCCTCTTCTGATTGGTCAGGTGTGTTTATGTGTGTGTCTCTCTCGTTGGCTCAAAAGATTCATCTTCAATCTTCGGTTTGTGTGTCCAGGCCTCGTGGCACCCCCTCTATGACCTGATGGTGGTTGGGCGGTACCCTGATGAGAGGGTGTGTCCAGGTGCCCTGAGGACCATCGATATCTACGACGCCAACACGGGAGAGCTGGCATGCCAACTACTGGACCACAACGCCCCTGGGATCATATCGGTGAGTATGACGAGAAATTTTACCTTCGTTTTATTACGACTCTTACTTGGAAATAACGTCAATGTTAGTCTGTAGCCCTTTAGACTTTGATATGGGAAGTGATGGAGCAGTGTCTTCTTCCAGGGGATGAAGTCATGCTTCAGGGATGTGTCACTGTATTTGTTACAAGTGTTGAATCATGAATTTGTGCTGCACTATTGTTCAAGCCATCGTTGGGTCAAAACCGTTTAAAATCTCTGCACACCTTCCTTTCCAGGTCAACAAGTTCAATCCAATGGGAGATGTTTTAGGATCTGGAATGGGTGAGTCTGGGTTTTAAATACTGTCTTTTCCACTATGTTTGTAATCGCGGCAGCCACGATCAAATCAGCAAAGAGACTAACCAATCCACTAACTATGTTTGTAGCTGGAAATTTGTTTGCTAAAAATCTGTGTTCAACTTGGGCCCTGGTCAAAATTAGTGCAATACACACGGAGCCATTTGGGATTCAGACAATAAGGTTTTTTGTGATCCACCACAGGAGTGAACATCCTAGTGTGGAACAGAGGTGAGACGTTGGCTGGTAAGCAGCAGAGAGGAGAGCTACAACAGGAAGCAGGAGTCCAGGTTGGCAGAGGTAGAGGCCAGCGGGGGAGAAGGCGGGAGGCTCGGAGAGGGGAGAGACGGGGGGAGGATGAGGACGACATTGGGAAGCTGAAGAAGAAGCTGTCTTCCCTGGAAGAGTCCTCCTCCTCGGGGACCAGAACATCCAGGCAGCACAACAGCCAGACACAGAAGGGTCAAAAGAAATAATCAGGGAGAAGGAGAGAGGTCGTTGTTTTGTGATGTTGGTTATGTCTATGACATTGTCATATACGGGTAACTGCCAAAATAAAGGAAACACCAACATAAAGTGTTTTAATAGGGCGTTGGCCCACCACGAGCCAGAACAGATTCGATGCACCTTGGCATAGATTCTACAAGTGTCTGGAACTCTACTGGAGGGATGTGACACCATTCTTCCACAAGGAAAAATCCATCATTTGGTGTTTTGTTGATGGTGGTGGAAAACGCTGTCTCAGGCGCCGATCCAGAAAGTATTTAATTGGGTTGAGATCTGGTGACACACACACACACCCACACACACACACACACACACACACACACACACACCCAGCCTTTAAACCCCTTATGCTCTTTTGAGACCCCTCTTTCAAAGTCACTGAGATCTCTTCTTCTAGCCATAATGGGCAACTGGGGATTTTTATACATGACCCTCAGCATGATGGGAGGTTAACTGCTTAATTAACTCAAGAACCACACCTATGTGGAATAACCTGCTTTCAATATACTTTGTATCCCTCATTTACTCAAGTGTTTCCTTTATTTTGACATTTGTAATCTTGTACCTTTCTTGTTCAAATCATGTTTTTTATTGAAATGTTCCATTTCCATTGTTATAAACAGGGATAATCGTGACTGACACCAAACAATATAAAATCCACAGATGTTCACAGATATTTGAAATATCTCTTACAACATTGATCACTGTTCCACTGTGTTTCAAAGATATGTCTTGTGTTTCAGATGTTTTATATACACCTCTGTTTCTGGTGATAAATGACCTTTTTATAAACTTTTTATACTATATTAAAAAAGTTATTTTGAGCTTGAACTGGATTGCGTATTCATTCTTCACCTTAAACTGATGAATAGTTAGCCTGGTCCCAGGTCAGTTTGTGCTGTCTTGCCAACTCCTATGGTATTTTGCAAGACAGCACAAACAGATCTGGGACCAGGCTAATCTAAGTAAATATTGTGATGGCTTCTGGTCTACGCAGCTCGTTGACTGTAACATCAGCTAAACGTGTCAGCACCTCTCCCCATTTCTCCTGGTCCTCCTCTCTCTCCTGGAACTTGGCCTGGTGGGCAGAGTAGACCATACCCAGGATGAGGCTCTCAAAGCGGGGTGCAGCCAGAGGGAAAGCCCCTCTCTCTGGTCCTACAGGGCCTTCACCATCTGCTCCATGGAAGAGAGGATCTTGGGGATGTTGTCGTTGATGCGAGTGAGGAAAGCCCGTCCGTGCCTCATTGATGCCATCTCCAGGTCCAGCAAGATGACGTTGTTGTCTTTGTCGATCTCTACTCTACCCAACAAGAACTGTATGAAGAGGAAATAAACTAATGATCAGTCAAATGTGGGTAGGTAGTAAAATATGTATAAGGAAGAAGTTTAGGAGTGAGCTGATATGGGTGAGTGGGGAAAAACAAAGAGTTCGAAAGAATGCACATAAAAGTGTAACCTGGTCCCAGATCTGTTTGTGCTTTCATGCTGACTTTGATGTTCATTGTCAGCAAGACATCCCAAACTGATCTGGGACCAAAGCTAATAGAAGTGTAACTCCAACCTCAAACATCAGGTTGACATCACTGAGGGATCGGCCCAAGCCCTGGGAAGGAAGACAGCCATGTACGGCACCAGACACATCTGAGGGAGAAAAATGTTGTTCCTTTTAAATGACTCATTATGAGAAAAAAATATTGTTACACTCAGGAACATTTCATACAGTTGAAGTCGGAAGTTTACATACACCTTAGCCAAATACATTTAAACTCTGTTTTTCACAATTCCTGACATTTAATCCAAGTAAAAATTCCCTGTTTTAGGTCAGTTAGGATCACAACTTTATTTTAAGAATGTGAAATGTCAGAATAATAGTTGAGAGAATGATTTATTTCAGCTTTTATTTCTTTCATCACATTCCCAGTGGGTCAGAAGTTTACATACACTCAATTAGTATTTGGATCATTTCCTTTATATTGTTTAACTTGGGTCAAACGATTCGGGTAGCCTTCCACAAGCTTCCCACAATAAATTGGGTGACTTTTGCCACATTCCTCCTGACAAAGCTGGTGTAACTGAGTCAGGTTTGGCGGCAGGTAGCTAAGTGGTTAAGAGCGTTGTGCCAGTAACCGAAAGGTCGCTAGTTCTAATCCCTGAGCCGACTAGGTGAAAAATCTGTCGATGTGTCCTTGAGGAAGGCACTTAACCCTAACTGCTCCTGTAAGTCGCTCTGGATAAGAGCGTCTGCTAAATGACACACAAAAAAAGGTTTGTAGGTCTCCTTGCTCGTACACGCCTTTTCAGTTCTGCCCACACATTTTCTATAGGATTGAGGTCAGGGCTTTGTGATGGCCACACCAATACATTGACTTTGTTGTCCTTAAGCCATTTTGCCACAACTTTGGAAGTATGCTTGGGGTCATTGTCCATTTGGAAGACCCATTTGTGACCAAGCTTTAACTTCCTGACTGATGTCTTGAGATGTTGCTTCAATATATCCACATCATTTTCCTTCCTCATGATGCCATCTATTTTGTGAAGTGAACCAGTCCCTCCTGCAGCAAAGCACCCCCACAGCATGATGCTGCCACCCCCGTGCTTCACGGTTGGGATGGTGTTCTTTGGCTTGCAAGCATCCGACTTTTTCCTCCAAACATAACGATGGTCATTATGGCCAAACAGTTCTATTTTTGTTTCATCCGACCAGAGGATATTTCTCCAAAAAGTACGATCTTTGTCCCCATGTGCAGTTGCAAACCGTAGTCTGGCTTTTTTATGGCGGTTTTGGAGCAGTGGCTTCTTCCTTGCTGAGCGGCCTTTCAGGTTATGTCGATATAGGACTTGTTTTACTGTGGATATAGATACTTTTGTACCTGTTTCCTCCAGCATCTTCACAAGGTCGTTTGCTGTTGTTCTGGGATTGATTTGTACTTTTCCCACCAAAGTACGTTCATCTCTAGGAGACAGAACGTGTCTCCTTCCTAAGCGGTATGACGGCTGCGTGGTCCCATGGTGTTTATACTTGCGTACTATTGTTTGTACAGATGAACGTGGTACCTTCAGGCGTTTGAAAATTGCTCCCAAGGATGAACCAGACTTGTGGAGGTCTACAATTTTTTTCTGAGGTCTTGGCTGATTTCTTTTGATTTTCCCATGATGTCAAGCAAAGAGGCACTGAGTTTGAAGGTAGGCCTTGAAATACATCCACAGGTACACCTCCAATTGACTCAAATGATGTCAATTAGCCTATCAGAAGCTTCTAAAGCCATGACATAATTTTCTGGAATTTTCCAAGCTGTTTAAAGACACAGTCAACTTAGTGTATGTAAACTTCTGACCCACTGGAATTGTGATACAGTGAATTATAAGTGAACTAATCTGTCTGTAAACAATTGTTTGAAAAATTACTTGTGTCGTGCACAAAGTAGATGTCCTAACCGACTTGCCAAAACTATAGTTTGTTAACAAGAAAATTGTGGAGCGGTTGAAAAACGAGTTTTAATGACTCCAACCTAAGTGTATGTAAACTTCCCACTTCAACTACATTGTTACAATCAGGACCATTGCATATGAACATTTGCATATTGATAAAGATTTTCAAACTGACCTTCCACTCAGAACCTATCATATAACATACTAATTATGTAAATGTGGATATCCACCCTATTCAAACTACTCAATGCATGGCATTCAAGACACATAGTTAGTGTCTTTAGATATTTTAAGTTATTGTTTTATCTCACCATCTAAGAGATCCTGAAGACATAGAGTACCCAGAGTGACCCAGAGCACGAATCCAAGTTGAGATTTTGTCACCATTTCTCTTTTGTGAACGTATAACTCTGATTGCATGATGGTTTCTCTGCCTCTGTCTTTCCTTAGCTTCTACTTCAACTACTTTTATACACCACTAAAAACCCAGTCCGATAGCCAGTGAGTCAAGGCTAGAAAACCATACATTCTTCCACCTTGGAAAAAAGGCATCAGGGCCAGTTGGCTCATAGGTTTACAGCACTACACTAGTGTTCTTCATTCCTGGTCCTACTGGGTGTGCAGGTTTATATTCCATCCAGAACACACCTGAGTAACTGTTCAACTACGGTTATATATAATATAATATAATCACTAAGCCTTTGATTTGTGTTAGTATTTGAACAATATCCCTGTGGGCCCCCAGGACCAGTTTTTGAGAATTGTTGTGTCCAGATTTTCTTTGGACAGGTGTTTGAGAATGTAATCACAAGAATGTATAAACACAGTGGCAGCACCACATATTCACTGGCAGCATCAGCTGAGCTGGGTCGTCACTAGTTACCACAGCCACAACGTGATAAACCTCACCTATTTTCTACAATTTATCTTCTTAAAATGTGATTTTTACACCTAACCACACTGATAACCGTATGTCTAACGTGCTGACCACACCGCACGCGTTACGTGCGCGAGTGTTGCAAAATAAATGTACAGATGTTATTCAATCATTGCACCCACACTGCTCGCGAGCGTCAACGAGCGTCTGCGTGGCTCAGACGCTACAATAGAACTCGGTTCTATTTGTGACGCTCAACGCGCTGAGAGTCCCGCCTCTCCCATCTCCTCATTGGTTTTTAGGAGCATATACTGTACCCACGTGGGTGATTGAAAGATTTTTTTATTACCAAAACCAACTGGATACAAAAGATGAAGACACATTAGATATACAAACATCCCCGTCCTCATTTACCACCTAGATGCTGCATCAGGTTCCTGCAGTATATAACAAAGCAGCAGACCAAATATTAAATTAACATTCAAAATGTGGAACAATGTAAATGAACAATCTACCGTGGAACACAACTATAAGTACTTCCGCTAGCCCTCTAAAGGCTACAACAAGGGTTTGTTCTAAACTGTTTCCTGCGGCGGAAGATGTGTGATTACAATATCTATTTAAATTGGAAAAATACCCACGTTTATCTTGATGAGTCAAGAGGACAGACTCTCCTGTTGTTCACACTTAGGCACAAATACTTTGCGCCAACTGTTTTTACATCCGTATGTCCTCAATATGAGCATGTTTGTTCATTTCATGATGCAGGAAACACAATAAAACAATTATTATCCACATGAGTGACATACAGTGCCTTGCAAAAGTATTCACCCCCTTGGCGTTTTTTCCTATTTTGTTGCATTACAACCTGTAATTTCTCACCAGTGATATAGATCATTGTGTATCACAAAGATACATCTACCATATCAGTTTGTGGTTTCCATCAAGGTGCCATAACGAGTTTGGTCCAGCAACACGGTATGACCTTCTATGCACCCTCTGGGACATGACTTAACACGAAGCATGCTGTCCCTCACTCTGCGTCTCTGGTACCCGGATTCCCAATGCCCTTAATTGGGCTCGAAACAGCCTCCGGTCCAAGTTTGTTGTTCCCAGCCACCAAGTCCTTAATCTTTTCATCCAGAGCCAAGTCTGACATGTCAGAATATAACGGTGCATGTGACAGACTGAAGTGTCTGGGGGAACAAAGAAGAGTAACATTGGGATGAGGTAATGTAATATGAGGTAATGTAATACAAGGTAATGTAATATGAGGTAATGTAATTCAAGGTAATGTAATATGAGGTAATGTAATACAAGGTAATGTAATATGAGGTATTGTAATATGAGGTAATGCAATATGAGGTAATGTAATACAAGGTAATGCAATACAAGGTAATGTAATATGAGGTATTGTAATATGAGGTAATGTAATATGAGGTAATGTAATACAAGGTAATGTAATATGAGGTATTGTAATATGAGGTAATGCAATATGAGGTAATGTAAAACGAGATAATGTAATATGAGGTAATGTAATACAAGGTAATGTAATATGAGGTATTGTAATATGAGGTAATGCAATATGAGGTAATGTAAAACAAGATAATGTAATATGAGGTAATGGAATATGAGGTAATGGAATATGAGGTAATGTAATACAAGGTAATGTAATATGAGGTATTGTAATATGAGGTAATGCAATATGAGGTAATGTAAAACGAGATAATGTAATATGAGGTAATGGAATATGAAGTAATGGAATATGAGGTAATGGAATATGAGATAATGCAATATGAGGTAATGTAAAATGAGATAATGTAATATGAGGTAATGGAATATGAGGTAATGGAATATGAGGTATTGTAATATGAGGTAATGCAATATGAGGTAATGTAAAACGAGATAATGTAATATGAGGTAATGTAATATGAGGTAATGTAATATGAGGTAATGGAATATGAGGTAATGTATACCGTCATAGTAATTTTAAAGTTCTGTCTTGATTGTAGTCATTCTAAATTGTTTGATTGGTAAGAAACTGGAAACCATGCATCTAAAGTCTTTGTAGTTTATAGCATTACTCTCAAGCACAACTGACCTTAGACGACGTTTGATTGTTGATCGGGACACATGTAGAATATTTGCCATCTGAGGCACACTGAAAGCACAGGACATCAGAAACCTCAGTTGCTCTTGAGTGATGGCATAACAAGATGCACCTCTAGCTCCTCTCCAAGTCTTAGGATCCCGGTAACCAGAACTGGCTGTAACAATAATACAACACTGTGTTTAGGCTACTTAATGTATTGTGACAACGCCCGCCCACCTCATTCCAAAAACACTTTTAAATGATAGTAACTGTCACAAATTGTGGCCAAGTAATGTTTTTATAATATTGGATTTTAAAGCCAAGACATTAATAGAAATGATGACCAAGAACGAATACAATGGGCAGCCGGAGAACGAAGAGTGAAAAAAAATCTACGCCCAACATTACCTGGTTTGATTGCTCAACAGTACGCCCAACCACACCCACTACAATGCTGCTTAACTTGTTGTGCATGCCAGCCAGAGGCTCTGTTTGCAGCCTTTCAAGTTTATGTTAACCTATATTCTGATTATAATAGTATGTTCATCAAAAGATCATGAACATCCTCTGTTGTCTGTCTAGAAATGGTGATGTTAAAGATACTACTTGTGTTTGTCATCATTTGACAGCTTGGGAAGATTAAAAACATGTCACTCCTCTTATCTTTATGTTAGTTTAATGTGAAAACAAAGGTAATCTAATTCTTATTCTGAAGATGAATAACAACATTTAGGCATAACAGTAAATACATTTAAGCAAGGTGTTAGGTTCTGAACAGAGTATGAACTCAAATGGACGCAGAGAAAAGCTCAAACCAAGTTTATTCCTTGTTATCGTGGACTGACGGGCATCAAGTCCAGGATTATCAGAGAGCAGAAGCCGAGTGCAGTCATTTAGGATCTGTTTGCAGCCTTTTTGCCATCTTCTGTTGTGGTGTTGTTGCATCAAACTGACCGATTAATGAAATCTGGTTGAAAGGAGGAGCAAGGGAAATTGGCTGGTAATATTAGCATATTAAAGAATGCGTTAAGTTAGCGTGTGTAGGTGTATATTTAGCAAGACCGCTTGCAGCTGTTTATTTAGCGCATGTTGGACCATCTGCAAGCGTATTTGCACGCTATTATTTGACGCGTGTAGGCGTTAACTTAGAACGTGAAGGCGTTAACTTAGCGGATGAACGCGTTAATTTAGCGCCTGCACCTAATTTCTTTACACGCGTAGCATTAAAATCACTATCGGTGTTCAGAAACTAAAGTTTAGAACAGGAAGCATAGAAACAGTGCACAGAGAACAGATCTACAGCTTATTGGACTTGCTTTCAATGAGAATGAAAGATCTATAACACACAGTTCTATGTGAATTTGGTCGGGTCGCCCAAAAAGTTACATATTGCAGCTTTAACCTGTCTTCTCTTGAGATTAAAGTCTTATTTACAGTTTTACTGAAATATATGAATTGGCACAATGATGTTTGTTCTTCAAATTATGTATTTATTATTTATTTATTTATTATTATTATTATTGATTATGCACTCTACTAACACTTCACTCAACTAATTGTGGTCTAAATTGAAGACCACGATCAGTTGAATGAGATGTTGGTGCTAGGCAGGAATAAAAACATGCACACAGTCCAGTAACTTTCCCAAAATCCCCAGTTTTCAAAAATCCTGGTTGGAGGATTCCAGATTTCCTGCTTATCCCTTCCTCATACCGGGAATCTTCCAACCGGGTTTTGAATTAGTTTTGGGAAAGTTACCAGATGTTTGCAACTACCTGGTACAGAACTCACCCACGTCTGTATAATAGAACAAGCTCACTAAGTAACAATGACATTACAATTGTGACCGACCGGCTCGATTCGGTCTTACGTAGCAAAATTTGAAATTGTGTTTTTTTTTTTTTTTTTTTTTTTTTTTTTTTTTAGGGGGGATGGATCAGCTTAATATTGCAGATAGATTGTATCTTCTATCAATGTAATTGTCTGCATCACTTCCAATCCCCCATGTTTTATTTTTATTTTTTATATATATATTCCCCTTTATTACTTTTCAACCCCACCATCCTTTCCCTACTTGGAGTAAATTAGTGAACAACAACGCCCAGGCCTCTACTTCCGGTCTATACTTACTATCTACACCTTATGGACAGAGTTAATTTTACAATAATTCTATATCTATATATATATATATATATATTTATTTATTTATTTTTTTGCTCCTGAACTTCTTCTACTCTCAACCTCTCCGATCATTTTCATGATGTCCATCCGGTTTGCTTCTAAATGCCATATCTTTCTAACTGTGCTCTTTCCCAAAAGCTCCCAACATACAACCTATATACTTATTATGGACACAGTATGCTTACATTATTAGCTATCTTTGTTATTATTTGTTGTTATTTGTTATTAGTCCCATCCTTCAACTCTATTCAATACCTCCCATCTATCTCT